TGGTTGGATCATATCAGTTTCGTATTTTGTTCCGACGCTATCATACTCTTTCGCAACAACATCGGGACTCACCAGACGGATAGTAGGTGAAATTATTGCAAACGTTAGAGCCAAGATAGAATCCTGCCAAAAGTAAGGTTTAGAAATGACCTGATGATGATGATGACATCTGACCTTAGAAATGACCTGATGATGATGATGACATCTGACCAGCATCAATGGAGATGTTGCATGTGTGAGGAATTTGCGATTTGACTGTTGATTCTTGTGTAAAAGTTCGCGAGAAACACGATGAAGCCACTGGTTCTCTCTGAAATCAACTCCCAAGCTCAAAAAAAGCTCTCAAGTCGAGGCCAAAATGGAGGGGATATCCCACCCTACCCTGAGAGTCCACCTCTACATCAAGACAAACTCTCCATATGCAACGATAGGGAGCAAATACATTGACAGGGCTGCCACTTCATTTGGGAACTCTACAGCTGAAAAAACGGCACCACTGCCAATGTATTTGCTCCCTATCTTTGCATGGAGAGTTCGTCTTGATTTAGAGAAGGACTCACAGGGTAGGGAGGGATATCCCCTCCATTTCGGCCACAATTTGAGAGCTTTTTCTGAGCTTGGGAGTTGATTTCAGAGAAAACCAGTGGCACTATCGTGTTTTTCGCGAACTTTTACATCAGAATCAATAGTCAAATCACAAATCTCCACACATGCAACATCTCCATTTAGATAGTCTAACCTCAAATGTTTATAAACCCAAATATGATCTCGCCGCCATTATTGCGGCATTCGACCGATCAGCAACATAAATACGCTTAGTATAACGGCAAAAATTCAATCATGGTATGGCAGTGAGCTAGGCGAACTCTAGGCACCCTCCACTCTCTCCTGTGTTTCCGCAACGCAGGAATATTACTCGACGCTCCCCCGGAAACCCAATTACGTTGGAACCAATTCCGTCCCTCGTCTTGCAACATCGCACGTTATGTCGTGTGAATAGTCGGCCCGGAGCAGCCCCGCGGTTTTCTAATCTATGACCCCCCTCCCCCGTCGCCCGCCTGAACCCCCGCCCATCGCCCGCGGTGCACACCTAACATACTCACGCGCATTGTGCTTGCCAACTGAGGCACGAGCGTTTTCGTCACCCCCTTACCCCCTCCGGTGGGAAGGGGGGCAGCCGTGCCCCTAATCTGTTGTATCGATAATCCCAGCGTCGCGCTTTTGTGACCGTGCTCGTGCGGTTCAAAGCTGCGAATCTGTATATCGCGGTCACTGTGCCGATATCGAGGGGAAACGACGCACGGGGGGCAATGGACGCAATGGGAGAGGTTGGACAAAATTTGGAAACTTCAAAAGCCCATAACTCCATTTATACGAAATTTTGAGGTTCTAATAGTTGATTCATTGGTTTCCTCGTGAAATTTTCTTCTAGAAACACCCCTTAAAATTTAAAATGTGACGAAGTAAACATCAAAATTTGTAGTTGTAGTCAAAAATTCCATGTCCGACCTCTCTAATGGACTCGATCCACTGTGCGACGGCAGGTTACGGTTCTGTGTCTCTTAAGACTGCCCGTTTGTTTAATAGATTCCGATTGGATGGAGCCGTGGCCTTAGGACAATCGTCCATCCCAGAGATTAGAATTGGATGAAACCGGAGGGAGATAGGGTCGTATTCATAGTCATCCCTTGAATAGTTCCTCTCGTTAGGAAGCCCAATTTGGTTTACATTGTGATGAAGGGAGGCCACGGGAAATCCGCAAAGTTGCATCATGCCAAAGACAATATTTGCCAACCTCGAGTGAAATGCGCCTGTTTGACTTGGGAAGTGAATCCTTGCAAGTTATTACAATGATTTACCATTGCAGAAAGTGGAAGAATAATACGGAAGAAACAAAATTATGATTTTGATAAACTACGTTAAAATTTGCGAAAATTTGCGGTGCTTTGTTATTGTAATACCTGACAAGGACCCATTTTCTAGAATATACTGCTCAAGTTTTACTCACCATTTGCAAAAAGTGTCCCTTTTACGATGCCTTTTTGAGGAATTCTGTATCCCTCCTTTAGAATCACAATATGAATCAACTAGGGCCTCCCAAGGAAAGGAGCTGCCTGCTTAAGAAGAGACTATGAGGCTTAATGCCTCGAAAATCAAATCGGGAAATATACACAGCGATTAGAAGATCTGAGATTGCAGGGATTGAGAAATAAATCTTATCCTCGTATTACATTTTCTGATCAGTCCTTAATGCAGAATACCATGAACCAATTACAATGGTCCAAATAGAAAGCATATATATGAATAAATAGGTCATATTTTGCGTTCGTCCATTTGCACTTCCCACTCACTATAAAACCTTAGTGAATAATCAAATTGCCTTTATTTTAATTCCAATCCCGTTCACAATGGAAAAATCTCCTCTATATGCTGAATTCCTTGCCATGTTTTCACTTTCTTTAACTGGACAAAGAAAGAAAATGTGATAGAGAAGCTAGTTTACTTGCCGAACGGTCCTAATTCTTTACAGTGATCGATTTGACCCATTTTGTAACTTTCGGTTTTTCCGCGAAGAGGGAATTATAAATTCGCCTACTCTAATGTGATGTAAGTTGAAATACAACATCATAATGTTCTAATGATCATCCTTGGCACGAAAATATTTTCAGTGATCATCACTGTCAGGCTTCTGGATCGTGTCCTGATCATTTGCCGTTGTTTTACCCGGAATCTTACTTATTCTGACCCATAAATTCTACGTAAAATATCGGAGGCTGATGTTTTCACAATCCAGTAACCAAGTCGTGATAGCCACGGAATCTCTTCTTGCGCCTTTAATGATAATTTGGACATCATGATGATGTTTTAATTTTACTAAGGGTTTACGAGCGTTTCTCACTTTTGGGTTAATCTTGGAAGTTTTCAGTACAGTATTTCATCGTGCCCTTTTCGAATTTTCGATGACGCGACACTTCAGTTCTCACCGTGTCCCCGGCAACTTGGACTTCATTTTGCAATTCGGACCTGTAATCTCTGGTTCATCTGTAAACACACTTATGTTCACAGGGAAACTGATGGCACATACGTTGTTTTTAAACTGAGCCAGAAATCATAGTTCCAAACTGCAAAATGCAGTCCTCTTATCTCATGCAGAGGCGGATCCAGCAACTTGGCAACACCGGATTCCCTCCATTTGAACCTATGTCAAATAATCGATTCTTGTCGGAGCACCTGTCCCCTCCAAGAATCGATAAATTTCCATAGGTTCAAATAGAGAAAAACAAGGTCGCCAATTTGCTGGATCCGCTAATGACCCCGTGGCACTTAAATTCTCATCCTGCCTACACTGGAAAAAAAAGAATCTTAAATTTGCCGCCAAGAAGTATTTTTTCTTAAATCAAGAATTTTGCTGCTTAATATAAACCACTTTTTTGCTTAAACTAAGCATTATTTTCCTTATATCAAGAAAAATTCAGCTTAAATCAAGATGAAAGAAATTCTTGGCGGCAAATTGAAGAATCTTCATGCTTGAGCCAAGCACCTTTTTTTTCAGTGTATAGTGTCTTGTGGTCCATTTTTCTCAATGGTGAGAACTGGGCATAACCGCACATAGACATGTTGCCAGGAACAACCGCGAATCAAGGAAAAAGATGTTTCACCGCCTTCGGACTAGAAGGCGAGCGGACAGAATTCAATTTTAATCGACTCCCCGACTCGGCGAAGCGACGCGACGTCGCCCCGGGGATCATCCCTCTTCGCAAGATCTCCCACCCCCGCCCCGGCCCCAGTCTCTCGACTCGGAGCTCAAAGGACCCCGGAAAATTATTAAAATTAGCCGCCGGAAAATTGCCTCGTTCGCGGGAAGTCTCACAACGAAAGGACTTCGCTCCCGACTTCGTTCGTTGGCGCGGGGTCGAGAAAAGTTGCACCTGATTTGTTGGTTTCAACCCTGAGTGAATCGTTCGAAACGTCGCGGCGCGCACTGGAGAACGAGTCTGTGTCGCACGTGATGTTAAATAGTTCTTATCTTCAGATATTTTTTCATTTAATTGTTTTCTATATTTTATGAAAGTAATGAGTTTGCCTTCGAGTGCATATCTTATGTTTTTCTTTTCACCAAGTGCTTTGCAAAGCCTATCGCTGCTCTCCTCAGGGGTTCAAGTTTATACATTAATGTGTCCGTCAAGTATAACGTTTCCTTTTAAGTGTTTGTTTTAAACTACATTACGAGTCCGCGTCTCAATACGAAATGTAATAAAACCTACTACTACTAAATCATTGAGGATAAAGTTCAGGCTTTGAAATACCGTTGGTCCTAAAAATGGTAAGCACTCGAGAGTGCGGTGAACATACGGAATTACTCAAAAGTCACGCACCACTGACCATAACTCTAGTTCTAATTATTATGATTTGTGGTTTAAGGCGTTTTTCCTCATATCGAGGGGGAAACTTGTGTATGTACTTCCCAGTTTTTGATCGGTGGGAGGGGGGCGGGGGTCGACTCAAAAATCTCAAAATGCCGCCCCCCTTATGACCAGTGGTGCGTGACTTTTGAATAACCCCGTATACTTAATTACTTAAATCTTCTTGTACATGAAACGTGGAGGTTTTATAAATGTTTCCGTTAGTTTTCGCGTACAATCTACAGTAAACACTACTTGAGCACTTCATCAGGAGAGTTTTTAGAAATTAGGTTCGGGTTGCTTAATCAATTGGTCAACCTTTCGGTCATGAGTAATCATTAGGTGAATATGAGCGATGACCTACAAATGTAACTTCTACGCTGCTTACGGCGTTTTACAGTTTTACAGTGTCTTAACACTGTAAAACTTGCACACTGGATTATAGATGTGCGGTGTCTGTAATCTCTAAAATACGTGTACACATTCTCGCCTGTGTTTCTACTTCAAGGTTCACGTTTCTTGAAGGGACGTTTTCCAGAAAGATCTAAAAACCAACAGTTCTAGTGCTTGGCTGTGGTTGAGTGAGGAGTGGCTTACATCTAGTCGTCCGGGTCCATTCCCAGAAGCTCTAGTGGCAGTCGGCCCTTAGTTCTGCAGCAAAGCGTGAGGCACAAGAGGCGGAGACCGACCCTAAACTGGGGACTCAGCGCCACTAAAATGAACGCCTTCCATATTGAGTTGGCGATCCCCAGCCACACCACCGCGAAGTGGAGGTACGGCACCTGAAAAATTTATTGAATCCCATTAATTTCTGTTAGTTTATAATTTCTGCTAAAAATCAGTTTTTCAGCAAGTTCGATGACACCCATCACTGCTAAAAAGGCCCTTGGATCTAAATTCCAGACGCTTTATAACATTGACAAGGAAATATATCCTTGATTCAATCCGATTTTTTCTTGAATATGAGAGCCGAGCCTCTTGATTTAGGCGGATTTTCTTTTGATTCAAGCTAAAAGTCCGATGAACCAAGAATATTCTTTTGTCAATGTTTTTAAGAGTCTGGACTCTGGATCCAAGCTACTTATTTCTGGTGATTAGTTAAAATAATTCCTGTTTGGTACGTCTGCCATCCGTTGTCCGCTGTGCTCAGACCCCGCAGCAAACCTGAAAATTATCTGCGATTTCTTTCTTTTCGTGAAAATTCTTCCGAGTCACAGACCTTTGGATACTTCTACCGGACATAATTTTGTGCTATTCTACCACTTGCCTCCTAAACCAGATGGTTACCAGCTTCCGACGCCGTTATTTAGGATGGTAAATTACATTTTACCGTAATGGAACATTGTTGACGCATTTAAATGCTTGACTCCCTCCTCAGCATAATTCCTTTAAAGGACAATCGAAAATGAAGTAAATGATATTAAAATACATTATGAACGATTAATACGGGCTCTGTTTACGTACGGTAGTGCCACGTTTTCTGTTCACGTTAAGGTCTCTGTTATCGATTGGTTTATTTATTATTGGTTGTGTTCTTTAATGCAAAATTTTATGCTCACATGAAGCACCTGGATGTGGCTCACCACGGAAGTCAAATCATCAGCTTGGTTGAGGAACTGAAACTCATGTTTCCATGAAGATTTATGTTTTTGCAAAGAAAAATACTAATTAACATTTAACTATTGTTGTAGTGACAGCTTGACTGAAAGACCTATCCACTGGAAAAAAAAAACACATTGGATCTAGAGTCCAGACTTTTGAAAACATTGACAAGAGGAAATACTCTTGATTTAATCGGATTTTTGCTTGAATCAAAACGAAATCCGCTTAAACTAAGAGGCTTGGTTCTTGATTTAAGCTAGATTCTGATTGAATCAAGAGTAATTTATCTTGTCGATGTTTTTAAGAATCTGGACTCTAGATCCAATTTTTTTTCCCTCTGTGGTGGGAATACCTTGAATTGAGTGTTTGCGAAGTACTCGAGGAGCTTGAGTGTGATGAGCGGGATCCAGGAGAGCCAGAAGACGAGGATGATTGTGAAAGCGACGGCGTGGCTCGGGTTGGCGAGGCTTTCGGAGACGGCCGTGACGTACTCCTTGTCGTGCATGGTGGCCGCGTGGCCTTGCTTGAGCTTGCGGATGATGGAGAGGATGTAGGAGTATGTGTAGAAGATGGTGATGAGGCTCGGCCCCAGGACGAGGACGGCCAGCGTTATCGAGTAGGCGGCCATTCGGCCCCAGTCTAACGAGCACAGGAACGACTCCCCGTCGAAGATCGGCAGGCTGTAGTCCAGCAGCGGCGGCAGACACATCTGCAAAACACGAATCAGAAAAATTTAATTTCCTCCGGAGTAAAGAAAACGCGCGAATAGACTGATTTAGTGGCTGTGTCAGTCGATATAATATCGAACTCGTGGTTCAAATTTAAACAATCACAGAACATTGTATCTGATTCGCGCTCATTTGCGCCCTCTCCACCATGTTGGTAAAATACCTGCAAGTGTTTCTTACAGTCGAAATTAAGACCTGAATGGATTCATGATCGGTAAATGACTAAATTTTAATAAATAACACAATTAACTCATGAAGAATTTGCACATGCACTGGGAGGAAGAAAAAAAAAAAAAAAAAAAAAAAAAAAAAAAAAAAAAAAAAAAAAAAAAAAAANAAAAAAAAAAAAAAAAAAAAACCTCATTGGATTTAGAGTCCAGGCTTTTAAAAAACATCGACAAGAAAAATACGCTTGATTCAATCACATTTAAGCTTAAATCAAGAACCAAGCCTCTTAATTTGAGCGGATTTCCTTTTGATTAAAGCTTCAATCTGATTGAATCAAGAGTCCTTTTTCTTGTCAATGTTTTCAAGAATCTGGACTCTAGATCCAATGTCTTTTTTTTTCCCAGTGTATATTGGAACGCAGATATTAGTTACCATAGCGGAAGAGATCCAGGTGAAGGCAACCCAGCACTGGCAGCGCGTCTTGGTCTGGACCGTCTCGTAGCGGAGCGGCTTGCGAACGGCGAGGTAGCGGTCGACGCTCATCCACATGAGCGTGTAGACGGAGATGGTCCAGAGGACGGCGGCCGCGTAGCCGGCGAAGCGGCAGAGGATGTCGCCGTAGACCCACTTGCCCAGGAGCACCGGGTAGACCGACAGCGGGACGATCAGCACGCCGCAGCACAGGTCGGCCCCGGCCAGCGAGAGCACGTACCAAAACACCATTTCGTGCGGCCCTGCAAAAAACCCAAAACACCATCTTTAACCGCGTCACCCTTGAGGATTTGCTGGCACAGAACATACGAAGTCATATCTGTATAAGCTGCTGAGTGCTGATATTAGCAACTGCTATTTTCAGGGAGGACTAAAAACAAATTGAAACAATTTTAAAACTCACTTGCGATGATTATTTTAAAAGTAGCAGACGCGTTCAGGGATAACATTTTTTAGAATCTACAAATCTTTAGCAGTGCTGGCGCTAAGTGTCACACTTCGAGCATAATTTTTCCAAGGTTATGGAGTTGTGTTAGAACGACGCCAATATTTTATACTAATTATTTAAAGAACCGCAAGACGTTGTATAAATTACGGATTACTTTACACTGTGGGGAAAAAAACACATTGGATCTAGAGTCTAGACTCTTAAAAACATTGACAAGAAAAAATACTCTCGATTCAATCGGATGTTTGCTTTAATCAAGAACCAAGCCTCTTAATTTGAGCGGATTACCTTTTGATTTAAGCTTAAAACTGATTGAATCAAGAGTATTTTTTTTTTGTCATTGTTTTCAAAAGTCTGGACTCTAGATCCAATGTGTTTTTTTCCAGTGTATTCTATTTAAGTTTTTCGACCTGGTGGCCATTATCAAAGTTTTCATTTCACATTCAAAAATAAAACTCACAATAATTCAGCAGCATTATATATCTTCTATATAACGTCACAGTGCTTATCTAATATAGCTCACTTCCAGTGCGCATGTCAATGTTCTTTGTTTTTCCCCATATATCCCACGTTTCGCCAAAAGATCGCAGCACCTATTTATTAGTATGTTATCAGTGGCATCAATTTCAGTTTGGACATTTAAGAGATTCTCATTCCTTATACTGGATCGGTTACCGCCGGCGTTGGTTATGTCTTCGTTCTTTAAATAATTAATATATTATTTCTTCATTGCATAAAGAACTAGCGATCAACCTGTGCTTCGCTTGACACTCAATTGCATAAGCTGATGTGTTAGCTCGGTTTAATCCGATGGCAATACAATTATAGCCTCTCCGGAGTCCTAAGGGCGGCAAAACGACCCTTAGGTCGATCGAATCACGTGAATCGCGATCCCTCACTTGTGAGTTTTAAGTGAGTTTTTGTGTAGATGATGTGTATTTCGTGATTCTGGAGGCCCCGAAGCGCGGAAAAAGGACCGTTCGGCCGATCGAATCACATGTATCGCGATCCCTCACTTGTGAGTTTTAAGTGAGTTTTTGTGTGAATGATGTGTATTTCTTGATTCTGGAGGCTCCTAAGCAGGCCCGCCACAAGGGGGGGGGGATTTCTGGGTCCCTGGGTCTGGGGCCCGTGCCACTGGTGAAAAACCACGACGAATTCACATGTAACCCTTGTCTCGTAAGGAAAAGTGAAAAATTTAACCTAAAAATTTCGCAAAAGATGAATAAATTTTCAAAAACATGCTGGGGCACTATAGAATTCTTCTTACTTCTTTAAAGATTTCTATCTGCCTTCAAGATTTGTAGTATACATAAATTGATATTTTTAGTAACTGCGTTTCATTTTCTTCCGTCGTCGGATGCTAAGAGGCTCCAGTCTGGGCATTCTCGACTTCAATGGCTCAACTTCCTTGCCATAGACGTACAAAAGAGGAGTCCAGGGGGGCTTGGACCCCCTTGAAATTGTGAAAAGTATCATCTGCCCCCCTCCCCCCCGAAAAAAATTTCCAGATGTTTTGGATGCATTAATCCGAAAGTATTTCGTGCATGCTGTAAAAGTAAAAAAAAAGGCGTAATTATTCTGCAGAAACCGATGGATAATCTCCGTCATGGGAGCTTCAAAATGCGTCTAAAGCAGATTTTAAATTTTAAACATTTCCCGGAGGAGGCCCCCGGGCCTTAAAACTGGTACCAGGGCCCGAGATTGGATGTGGCGGGCCTGATGCTCTCGGGGGTCGAAATACTTGTATCGTGCAATCGAGTCTTATCTTTTTCACGCACTGGGCTGGGACGAATTGATTTCAATGCGTTAAATGCGAGTCACCCTCAATTCGATCGGTATGCAATATTAGCTCCTCGGATGTTAAAATAGTTGTACCTTTCGTTTTGGAGTTCTTGCAGCGCTCAATAGAAGACGAATCAGAACTGGACTACATTTTGCAATTTGGAACTGTAAATTCTAGCCCGGTTTAAAAACAACGTATGTGTCATTAGTTTCCCTATGCACATAAGTGTTTTTCCAGAAGAGCCAGACTTTATAGTTCCAAATTGCAAAATGCAGTCCAACTGGTATGTTGCGTTCAAGTTCAACTGTTCGGAGGTGAACTCTCCTTTGATGCCCCATTTCAACACCATTTTGACCTGAGCCTTCGCAGGTCTTTTCCCAAGTCTGAGAGCCGTTTCTAGACAAAATGAGTAGTATTATCGTGTTTCTCAGGCTTTATTTTGCAGTATTCATGGAATCTATTAATCGGGGAATAACCCATCTCCGATCTTTAAAAGTTTTTATTTTTTTCTCCATTCGAAAACGGTTTTTAACTTTTGTTAAACCCCTTTTCATTTGTGTTAGGACGTGTCTACACCCTCCATAAACGTTCCCTTGTTACAATGTAAACTTTATAGGACCACCACAAGGAAATACGCCTTTTAAAAGCATGATCACGAGTACGAAGTTCTGAAAAAGAAACATTTCGAGCGCAAGAACTTCATTGACCTTACAGTATTCTTTTTTTTTTAGCCTTGATCTTTTCTTTTAGATTACTTTCACCAGTTTTAAGTGTTTCTCTGTAATGAATGCAGCTTCCCTGTCGAAGCTCTATAACGACCCAACGAAAAATGAACAAATGAATGCAACTAGAGTGGCGTGACGGGTAAAGAATAGAACAAAAAGTTAAATATCCATAAATATATTGCTTAGCTTCTATACTTCCATTTGAAAGAAATGGTTGAACTGTTGCTGAAACGCCCAAGAGATGGTAGGAACGTGCTGCGAATGCTAGAGAAGAGACGAAAAGTCGGCAAATTGAGGATTTTTGCCCCGGTCCTGGGAAGTTCAAATGAACTTAGACGTTCCGCTTAAAGCTAGCGAGGACGAGTAAACTTGGAACAGAACATCATTGATCCCGAGTCTCCTCTCAGGATAACTTGGCTCTCATCGTATCGCATTTCCAACCTTTTTGTATTTTCTTACTTTTCGCAATTATCTCAGGGAGCCTTCTGTGGGAGCTGCGCACAGTGGGCAAATCCTCCGATCGAACGTCGAAAAAGTCCAAAAATGAATTAGGGGGGAAACAAGTTAAAATTTACAAAATCATGCAGTTCGACGTGTGTGGATCTCAAATCAATAAATTTTTGTGCCTTTCTCCTCTCATGAGGTGAATTAAATGATGGAATTTACCGAGCGTTTTAATATAATAACCTCCTTTTGGAAGTAAATGTGAACACGCAGTTTGATGTAAATATCTGATTTAAACAAAAGCAATGACAGAAATTCATAATTTGGCACATGCAAATCAAACACTATGCGTGACAAGAGACTTTCTGGTACATGGACAAGAATTTCATCACCAACATTTTCATCGGAGCGAGGCTCTTTAGTGTGTTTCCGCTTATTCCGCATTCATTGTCATCAATTCTCAATATTTTACACGAACATCACCCATGAATAAAATAGAATTGTAACTTGCACTTAAATGCCTCCTTGGATTGACAGTCATTTCGACCACCTAGTCGGGCGTGAACTAACACGACGGTGAACCTACTTCTGGGTCATTCGGCCAGCATTACGTTTTCAGCATTATCGTTTACTTAAATTAATTTGAGATAATGAATCTGTAACCCTTGCGGTAACCAATTAGATAGTAAGTAAGTATCGTTCACGTATCGAAATGCATGGTTCTAATAATGGTATTTTAATACCTTTTTCTAAGTACACACTCGTTTCCTTTTTTTTCTTTTTTTTATGTCTGATTCTTTTCTTAGGATGTATTTGTTAACCTAAATCTAAAGCGTTCATTCTTATGTACCGGCACCGTAACTTTCCGGAAGTGATGCTCGGGTTAATTTGACCCAACTTTGGGGTTTCTAAGGGTACTTGTCTACACTGAGAAAAAGCTATGGTTTATAAACCTATTAGTGGTAAATATGGAACACCTATAATAGTCGTAAATAAACTAATGATTCTCGGTCTGTGAACCATACTAAGGTCTCTGTACCTAATTAAGGCACAGAGACCATAACTAAGGTATATGTGCTATTATTATATGTAGAGGTACTACTATTAGTGGTGTTCCATATTTACCTCTAATAGGTTTATAAGCCATAGTTTTTTCTCAGTGTACAAGAATTCCCTGGCACTAATTGTATTTTCTTCCTTTCTTCAATTGTATACATATTTCAATTTTTACGATGTATTTGTAAACCTATTATCTAATGCTCGTTTATACCGGCCCCATACCCGCGAGGAACGTATTTCTAGCGAGCCTCTCGGGTCTTTTTGACCCGGCTTAGGTATCTTAGGGTTAAAAGGTGACCTTTTTGGGTGTACATACATTGTCGAATTGTTACCAAATGAACTGGATTATCCAATTCCTATAATAGCAACAGCACGCATCGACTATAGTAATTAATTAATGATTGCACTGGTAAAAAAACCTCTTGGACCAATGCCGCGGTGCATTGACGTACACTGAGAAAAAACTATGGCTTATAAACCTATTAGAGGTAAATATGGAACACCACGAATAGTAGTACCTCTACATATAATAATAGCACATATACCTTAGTTATGGTCTCTGTACCTTAATTAGGTACAGAGACCTTAGTATGGTTCACAGACCGAGAATCATTAGTTTATTTACGACTATTATAGGTGTTCCATATTTACCACTAATAGGTTTATAAACCATAGCTTTTTCTCAGTGTAAGACTGCAGTTTCTTGTCGCCGGATTTAAGAGTCTTGAACTTTTGTTTCAAGCGGATTTTGCATTGATTCAAGCGGATGTTGCATTGAAA